GATATATGTATATATATATGGTCTCTTTTTCTACTGGCTTTTGCGATTATGTTTTTGGATCGTTCTCTGTTGGTTGTTTCCCGGCCATATGCCATAGCTCATTCAACCAGTCTCATGCAGTAGGTGAAAAACGAAGTATATATATGAAAGATGATGGTGAGGGGGAAATCATTATGGAAGATGCCATATATGTGGGCCGGGTGAGAATTATATATGCAATCATTTGATAATCTGATCATCTTCTTTGCTTGCCCTAATAATATTTCTGCCAATGACGACAATGACATCCGTGTGGGGCGGCGCCGGAGCAAGTGAGAAAAGGTGGAGAGGTGGTGGGCTATCACGTGAACAGTGTCCTCCATTGGGCCCATATGCCACGTGTCGACATCCCAGATTCCAGGGGTGGGGGCTAAGATCAGGTGACTAAGGGGGGTCCCTTAGTCACATGACTAAGTCAATCTCCACCCTTGCATCTCATTAAAATCCAATGGCCCATATTAATCCAATTTAAAAAAGGGCAATATAGTAATTGCATGATTATTTAATTTATTAATTTATATAATAAACAAAAATAAATCAGTTTTGGCCGCTGTTGCCTTCGGACTTCCGCGATTCCCTAGCCGGCAAAATTTTCCCGGCGGTTTTGGTGTCGTTTCCGGCGTCCTCTCTAGCCGGCGGCTACTGTAATTGCTGTCCATTTAGGAATGAATTGTTCCCAGGTGAGAGAGGGTGATTATTTTGGGAATAAATGGTCCCAGAGAGAGAGATCATGGGCGCCATTATTATTCCCTTCCCCCGCCGCCGTTCCATTTTGGGAAAGTTGGCCCATGGCCACCGACACCACCATTTTTGGTGTGGCAGAGAGAGAGAGAGGGAGGGAGGGAGGGAGAGAGAGAGAGAGAGAGCTTTTCCGGCGACGGAGACGGTGGTGGATGATTTTCCGGCAACAGTATTGAGTTCGTGATGTTTGTAATGTTTATATTACTATTTTGTATACATTGTAATGTTTGTTTGTCTAGTTTGTATACTTTATGTTATGATTTATACACTTTCTATTCATTGATTTGTATTTGTAACTTTTGTTATTCAAGTTTGTATACTTTTATGTTATGATTTGTATACTTTGTATTCATTTGTTTGTAATACAAGTTTACCAATCTGTATTGTAAGTAGTGATATTCTGTACGTGTAGTATGCTTTGTACTGTTTGTAATGTTTGTTTGTAATGTTTGTAATGTTTGTTTGCAATGTTTGTAATGTTTGTTATTTTGTAATGTTTGTTGGTTTCTTTTGTATTCTTTGTAATGTTTGTTATTTTTGTCCACATGTTTGTCATTTTTGTCAACCATGTTTGTAATGTTTTTTGCATCACAAATCAATACATATAAAGTATACAAATTATTAGTACTTACAATACAAAGCGAAACATATTAAGAATACAAGCAAAACATACTAAGAATACAAACTGTCAAAGAAAAACATACTAAGAATACAAACTGTCAAAGAAAAACATACTAAGAGTACAAACTGTCAAAGAAAAACATACAAACCATACTGACATTTTGTACAAAAATACTAACAATACAAACTAATGTTACAAAACATACAAACTATACAAATCACTGTTCTTCCTTCAGATGACGATACGATGTCTCTCCACGCCGCCGCCGCTGCCGCCGCCGACGTCGCCGTCGACTCTCTCTACAGCCGTCGTTACCTCTCTCTCTCCATCACCGCGCCGCTTCTATCTCCTCCATCGTCGTCGAAGCTCTCTCCGCCGCCTCTCTCTCCTCTGTTTTCCGACGAGTAGATCTACTTTCTCTCTCCAAGGCTGCCGCCTCTCTCTCCTCCAGCGTAGCGGCGCTGCCATCTCTCTCTCCATCGACATCGTCGTCTTTCTCTCTCCTCACCATCCGCCTCTCTCTCCGCCATGGCTTTCTCTCTCTCTGGACATCGCAGCAGAAAAGGGAAGAGGAGGAGACGGTTGCAGAAGGGAGAAAAATCAATAATAATTAATAAAATAAAACTGGAAAATAGGAGTTAATAATATATTGATAATGCCAAAACTACCCTTCTCATTTAATATTAATTAATTGATTTATCTGGACCATTAGATCAATCCAAGGGCTGAGGGGGACTTAGTCAAGTGACTAAGGACCCCCCCTAGTCACCAGATCCGGACTCCAGGGGTGGCGCGAGAGTATCTTTACATTGCTGTAGCTAGGTAGCTGCCGATGGAGTAGTGATACATTCACGATTCCCCCATCCACAATCATTTTACATGAATTGTTATCATGTGTCATTTGTTTACTTGTTTTGTAGCTTCATATATGTATCGTATTAAAAATTTTGCTTTATATAATGGATGAATATTAATTCAACCTGACCCAAATCATGAATCGAAATTGTTTATCTCGAAATTCGTTTACGCATTCATTCAAAATCGTTCATTACTAATGGTAGATGCCTTTGTTCACCTCAAGGAATGCATCAATTAACTATACTAATTAATAAATATATTATTAGGTATAGATCCCATGATGATATTTAAGGTTTTGATTCTTTGGAACCCACTTCAGCAATCATGATCATTCACGGCTTCATGCCACTGAGGTTTTGGAGCCACCAGTAAACTAGCGAGTACTTGGGCTTAAATGTTTGCACTAATATTTTGTGTTGATATACTTTACTTGCCAGCTAAGTAGTACGATAATTCGTTACTTAATTAAAGTGTCGCATGTTTCAATCTAATTTAATTAATTTGTACCGATGCTCATTAGCGCACTGGTGATCGACCCATTATCCACCAAGACTCTTTTGGCCATTTTCCTTGTAAAACGGGCATAAACTTACTAATGATGTAAAATGGGTTCGTGACGTCTAAACATATCTTTACTAAGCAAGTATGTACATCAGTACATGTATATAATCATGATATATTTTTCAAGTGGAGTCTTAGGACCCGAGTCCTCTTCCTCTCCCTCCCCCACTGGACAATATATTTGCATTTTTAAATTTTATGTTATATAGATTATAACGTTTGTATTTGTTATTGTACTTTCAACAATTAAAAAAAAAGTAATTTGAGCACCTTATTCACAATTTAGAATACACTTTTTTAAAAGATAAAATAAAAATAAAACTCTAATATAAAAAGAGGTAACAATCTAAACTTACAATCATTCATTTTGAATACACGTATTTGTGAGTAATCATTATAACAATCTCACTAATGCAATCGGGAAAATCACCGGCTAAATTCCATCTACTATTTTTGTGAAAGTGTTTTCCCATTTGGGTAGGGACAGAATTAGAATTTTCGTAAAGAGGAATATTGGGCTTTGGTCTCACAGGAGAACGACTGCTAGCTAGCTACTTCAATTCCCTTCCAGCCTCTTTCCACTACCGGACCACATACAAGCTGGCTGGTTATTCTCCTTCCACTCCAAATTCTCCAGAAATCCATACAGAGTATTGTGTAAAATATGTGTATTTCCCAGTAATTCCCCAAATGTTAAAACTACAACATGGATATGTTATCATTTATATTACCATAGGGTAAGTAGTCTTGAAGTATACGGTACCTTTATCTGATTTGATCGTTGGATGTATTTTACTACATTTAGACGCATGTGTATATACCATACATTTAGTTGCCAAGTAAAAAAAAAAAAGTCCCACATCCAAGAGTCAATAGATTCACAAAACATCAGTAGCATTCACAGTTAGAGATGACACTTTTGGCCAGCCTCTACCATAATTCCATAAAGCCTCTCTCTTCTCACATCAATATTCAATAGTCTCTTTGTCCTTCCAAAGCCTCTAAAAAATGAAGCATTGAGGGGCCAACTTGCTTCCTGATCTCTTGCATTTCTTTTTTTGCATATAGAACAACAACATTATCCAACTTGCAGAAAAAGGAAAAAGCAGAGAAAATATCCATTCGTGAGCCTTCAGTGTGTGCGCGTGCATGGACCATTTTAGCCCATGTGATCTCATGTGGAAGCATTGAGCAACTGCATGCCATACCATGCATACAATATTCAGATATAATAATAAATATCATACTTAGTTTATTGAACTATTGATCATGGTGGTCACCTGGTCGGCCTGCTTAATTATTATATCAGTTCATAAGCTTATACACGTTTGTTTAACGGTTTTTTTCCTTTCCAAGTTGGATTAGGGCTTGGCCATTTGGAGAATATGTTGTATATACATTTTCAAATTTTGTAATCTGTATATCTGCAAATATAGTGAAGCTGATCGTGAATTAACTGACACATATGTATTCTTACGATTCTCTAGTTTCCAAACCGTTAGAACAAACTCGCATGTGCAAGTATTGATCAATGGAGTCGGTCGTGGGGTTTGATCAATCGCGCGCCCAAGGGAGAAATTAAAGGAGATGAGAGAAGTATAAGTAAGTTGTCGTTCATTGGGCTGCCCATCGCTTGCTTCACGTGGACAGCTCGTGCGACAATGTGGGTTGAAAACGACGTCGTTCTCGTATGTTGTTGGATTGACTTCTCTCGATCTATCTATACCTGCAATATAACATATAGCTATAGCATTTCATGATTCTTCTTCTCCCCCCGTCCACTCCTTCCTTCCAAAGAAGAGAATCTCCCATGCACAAAAAGCAAAACCATAAGCTATAACCCACTAGTGGGCAGGGAGAGGGAGACAAAGAATATTGGGCACGAACCCACCAAACTAACTTTATGGTTCGTTTTTTTAGGGCATCTTGGTGGGTCCTACAATATCTATCTAGATTCCATCCTCCTCCCCCTTATAATATAAATACCTTCATCATCGTCATCTCCCCTTCTCCCTCATCACCACCACCACTACCTTCTTAATTCTGTTCAAGAACCAATTCTCTCAAACACAGACGACATACAAAGATTGTATACACATACACATACACATAATGTCAGGAGTGTGTGGTGTTCAAGAACAACGGGGTGATCCGCCTGGTGGAGAACCCTAGCAGCGACATGGAAGGTCGCCAGAGCAGCAGGAGGACAAAGGTGCTGGTGCACTTGCCGAGCGGGCAGGTGGTGACTTCCTACGCGGCGCTGGAGTGCATCCTGTTTGGGCTGGGGTGGGAGAGGTACTACGGCGGCGGCGGCGGCGGCGGAGAGCCGGAGCTCTTGCAGTTCCACAAAAGGTCGTCCATCGACCTCATCTCCCTGCCAATGGATTTCCAGAGGTTCAGCTCCGTCTACATGTACGACATCGTCGTCAAGAATCCCAACCTCTTCCACGTCCGTGACATCCAATAACTATTAGTCTATATATTACAGTCCGGCAAAGAGCTGCATGCATGCATGCATGCGTGGATCCGTGCAGATATAAATAAATTGAGTGTCTCTGTGTGACCTGTCATTAGTTCACCCTCTTAAATTATAAGCTAGCTAGGCTGTTTGTTGATCGGGTGTTTTTGCTTGGAAGGTAAGTTTCTGTATAGGGTGTCAGCTGCGTGGCTAGCTGTATGATTTGTTATCACGAATGGGTTTCTGTGTTCTTGTACACTATCTACTATATACAAGGGGTTTTTCTTTCTAGTGAATTCTGGTTTCTCCATCTTTGATTTTGTCATGAACCAACCATATAGTTACGTTCCAAATAACTCGAGTTATAGGGAGATATGTTCATGTACAGATTTTGAAGTTTGAACAAGTCTGTCATATCATATGCTTTAAGATCAAGGGTATTTTTCAGTCGTGAAGACTTGAAAAAGTGACATCAAATACAAATAGCTATGATACCATGTCATAAACGAACTGGTTCCCATAAAACACGAAGTTATTAGTAGGCCCGGTGGCGGAGCCAATGTAGAAGAGGGTGAGTCGTCCCGGGACCCATGCCCCGATGCGGAAGATCGCGAAGAACGTGTAAATATAAATACAAGTTTTTTAAGTGTCACTGAAAATTTGAACCATAAATCTTATCAATATTAGTCAATATTTCTACTACCATTAATATCATACGCGAATATGTCTTGCAAATTTTTCAAAATATGGAAACACGTCGCAGGACTAAGGTCTGAAATTATCTTAAGATTTTTTTTTTCTTCTCAAAAGTAAACTTATATCACCTTTATCTAAAAAAATATAACCCGCCACCTAATACGAAATTCTGGCTACGCCACTCTGAACAGGCCCATTCGCTCCCTTGTTGTTTTCGAAAGCTTAATGGCGCCCACTGGACCTTTCTCTGCCTAGGTCATTCAATCAGACCATGAGTAGGTGAAAAACATTGTATATAGTCGACGATTCATTATGGAAGCTGATATATGGGCGAATGATTCGTGGATAAGGAAGTTCGTTTGCAGTCCCTGACTCCGTGCAGTGACAATTATGCATGCAATCATTTGGTAATCATCACCCGTCGATTTTACCCGCCAATATGCATGCATGTTCTTATCAAAGAGATGGAGTGGAGCCTGGTGGGAAAGCTATGAAGCAGACACTGTCCCGCCAGTGTAGTGAGAAAGAGAGGGTGGTGGTTGTTCACGTGAAGAGTGGCCACACGTGTCCCCCGCCCTCAGCCCCTCTGGGCCCCACCATAAAAGCCACGTGTCGACATCTCAGATTCCAATGGAGAGTCAGCCGCCGTGCAAGTAGGTTCCACTGAGCAAAGCTGAGCCGGCGAACCTCCAGCCGTGTGCAAGTGAGAAAGATAGCATAGCAGAGGAGGGTGGAGAGGTGGTGGGCTATCACGTGAACAGTGTCACCATTGTCCCCCAAAATGCCACGTGTCGACGACGACGACATCCCAGATTCCTGGGGGGGACAGTATCCTTATTTTCTGTGCAAGCTAGCTGTCCGTCGAGTGAGACAATCGCGATTCCCGCATCCACAATCATTTTACTTGTAGGCTGCCCAACGGGGAAGAAAGAAAGAAGGAAGGAAGGAAGGGAACTCTGATCCAGCCCATGAAAGAGACGGAGAATCACCGCGTGTTGGATATTTTGGGCTTCGATCCGGTGATCACAAGTGGGCCGACTTGAAATGGCCCAATTACTTGGGTGGGCTTGCTTGTTGCCCCCAACGATAAAAATACGCCAAATGGAGATCTTCGATCGCCGAGTATAACAGAACAGATAACCAAACCAAACAAAAAACGTACGGTGTCGCTTGTCACACACGGCATATGTCTGTCTACTGCACATACTAGTACTACCAAATCAAGACCAACAGAATGTAGATGTGCATAACGGTGGCCGGTGGGGAATATTTGGAGCTCCAAAACCAAACTTACATGTCAAGAGTTTTGTTTCAGCCATTCAATTAAGGACCAACAGATCACACTCATTCAATCCATCGACGGTATATTGTCTCGACGACAAGCGACAACTGCGAGAGGTAGTTCGTAACCATATCTTGGTCCACATAAGATGTTTGGAAGCCATTTGGTTCAATCTCCACGGGACTGCTGAGAGACTGACGGAGACTAACGGAGAGTGACCAAACTTGGAATGTTTAACTAATCCTGGTGAACATGAATGAAATTAAATATTTTCAGTGACGAAACATGAACGTTTTTAGTAATCCCAGTGACCAACCTTGCAATTAACCCGTTGTTTTACAAATCAAATTGGATAATCCACCATCAATTGATGAAAATAAACCCCTAGGTATTGCAATTTTGTTCTCGCCTGTTTTTCATGATTTGTTTTGGAGCGGGTAATAGTCGGTTAAATGAGACTGATATTATTATTTTCTTTCAACCTTTTTTTTTTTTTTTGACAAAAGATAATCTTGTATTAGATAAAAAACAATAGATAGTTACACCCTGGAATTCAGCCAGGACTGAAAATCAAAGAACCGAAGCATTGCCGGAAACAAAGAGAGGGCCTTTCTAGCCACCAAGTGGGCTACCCTATTGTTATTCCGGCCAATAAATCGAACACTAAACCCAGGATTATTAACAAGATACTGCAGCACTTCTTCTAGCACCGCACCCACCCTACTATCTCTGGAATCCGCCATTCTGATTTTGTCAATGATCACCTTAGCATCTCCTTCAAATCTCACCCTCGTACGGCCCTGCCCCATGCACCACAAAATTGCTTCCCGGAGGACAAGCAGCTCCACCACGATTGGGTCATCTATACCCGGGAAATGGACCCCCGCCGCCCACAGGACCCCCTGGTCTTGCGCCAAAAGTACCACACCACCTGCCGAGTGAGACCCCTTCCGCGTAGCCCCATCCCAGCGACAAATGATCTCCGCCGCACCAGATGGGGGCAGGGATTGAATCGCTGGGGCCCGATTTGGATTTGGAGGAAAACTATCACTCGGGAGCCTCACCCATTCCTCATACTGTTGAGTATACTGCCTCATCAACGCTGCGACCCCATACTGTTTACCCTCAAAGACCACCCAATTGCGGGATCTCCAAATGCGCCAGAGAATGGCCACTACTGCCATAAACAATGTTGGCTGATCAATTAAACCCAACAATTTGGTGAGGAAGAGCGGAAACGTATGACGGGGTAAACCCTCTCCTAAATGTTCCATCCCTGCCTCCCCCCAAAGGGCTCGTGCCACTGGGCAATCCAGAAACAAGTGCTCCAGCGTTTCAGGAGACTCCCAACAGACCGGACAACGTGGATGCACCAGGATTTTTCTCTCAATTAAAGCTTCTGTCGTAGGGAGGATCCGGTTACACACCTGCCACACGAACACCTTCAACTTTGGTGGGATGTTGGCATTCCAAATACGCATCCACCCTGCCCGATCCATCCAACCTACCGTCGCCTTCCATTTTCCACGTCTCCGCTCCAGCGAGACAGCCAAGTGGTAAGCCGACTTAACCGAGAAATCCCCATCCGCCGTGTCATACCAAATGAGTTTGTCCTCCACATTTCCTTTCGGGAGAGGGATAGCTTTAATATTACGACACGTAGCAGGGTCAAACCATTGGGCCAACTTCACATCAGACCAGCGCCCCTCGCCTGCACAAATCAGCTCAGCCATAGGTGGGTCTCCTCCTTCCGGCAGGACCCGAGGATTAAACCTGAGAGGTTCAAACTGACTCTGGGGGACCCACGTAGAGTGAAGCATCGACGCCGCTTGGCCATTCCCAATTTGCCATCGCAACCCCATTTCAAGCAACTTCCGGCCAAAAAGTATACTCTGCCAACCCCACGAAGGACGGGATCTGGCCTGAGCATTCAAAAAGTGGCCCGTAGGGAAGTACTTCCCCTTATAGACTTGGGCCAACAGCGACTGCGGCTCACAGAGGATGCGCCATCCAATCTTAGCGAGGAGTGCCTGGTTAAAATGCTCAAAACGGCGGAATCCCATCCCCCCATCGTGTTTACTTTTACATAAATCACGCCAAGACATCCACCTCACCTTCGAAGTATTCGTATTCTCCCCCCACCAAAAACGCGCTAAATGTTTATCCAACAGTCTGCATAGAGACAACGGCAACTTAAAGCAGGACATCACATGCAACGGCAAGGCTAAAGCGATTGATTTTATCAGTGTTTCCTTCGCTGCCCAAGAAAGAGATCGCTGTTTCCACCCCTGGAGTCTCTCCAATAATTTCACTTCCAAGTAACGGAAAGTTTCCATCTTAGACCGCGCAATAAGGGTTGGGAGGCCTAGGTATTTATCATGGACCCCTACCGCCCCAACCCCCATAACTGCTGCCAAGAACTCCTGATCAGGCAAGGCGATATTCTTACTAAAACAAACCGCCGATTTCTCCAGGTTAACCCTTTGCCCACTAAGCTCCTCGTACTCGTTCAGTACCTCCAACAGATTCTCACACTCACGGAGCGTACCTCTGAGGAAAAGGTACGAGTCATCCGCAAAAAATAAATGCGATATACGAGGAGCCCGAGGGGCAACCTTCACTCCAGCCAGCTTCTTCTCGGAGATTGCCTTCCGTAAAAGGGCCGCAAACCCTTCAGTACAGAGGACAAACAACAGAGGAGAGAGCGGATCCCCCTGGCGGAGGCCCCTAGATGGAGTAAAAAAGCCCGACGGAGTACCATTCATCATGACAGAGAAAGAAGCAGATTTTAGACACTCCTGAATCCATCCTATCCAGACAGAATTAAAACCTAACTTATTCAACACCGTTAGGAGAAATGGCCACTCGACTCTATCATAGGCCTTTTCCATGTCAACCTTCAGAGCCATGTACCCTTTCTTCCCACGTGTTTTGATTTTTAAGTAATGCATTAACTCATGTCCTAGGAGGATATTCTCCACAATCTGTCTCTCCCGTATAAACGCATTTTGCCCCTCAGAAACAATGTTAG